ATCATTCCTCCATCTCTGCAACTGGATTCCAGCAGTTCTGTTCAGTACAGGAAGCTGTTCTTATATATTTATTCTTAAGTAACTGATTTAAAATATTGTTACGAACATGTCTGTATTATCTCTATGGTATCAACAGGTCTTTTGAATCTATATATACTGCACATTGTTTTTCAAATTTGTAAGGTTTTTTTTTTTTTCAATGAACTACTAACCATTTATTTAGTTTAAAAACTAGATTTAAAAATTGCATTTGCAAAAACTTTAATGTATATTGTGGGAGCTCATTCTGCTGTTGGCAGAATTAGTTCTCATAACAGATATATCAAAAAGAGCAAAGTATTTAGGCATATATGTAACTACAGTTGTAAAAGATAAGTACCTTGAAAACTAAAATATTGGTATGATGTACTAAAATAGACACGGATAATAGTTACAACATACATGTACTATCCGTAGTTTTGTACAGTTTTTTCTTAACTTTTATTGATCCTTTGTGGATTTTACATCATGCATCTACTTATCTGTCCTCATTTCTTGTTTATTCACTCTGCTCATTCATCCTTCCCCTGCAAAACAAAAGGAAATTTAAAAAGATAACCCAAAATAAGAAAAATTTAAAAAAAAGAAAAGAAAAAGGAGAAGAATCTTGTCATGGAAGTTTTAGTGTGGTAAGCTTAATCACACAGTTTACCTTTAGTCCATTTATCTTTACTTGTGGGTGTTCATTGCTATGAGTCATTGGTCTGCTTCAGGGCCTCAAGCTTCTATTACTTTGTAAATAATGGACTCTCTCTAGGGCTTCTCTTGAATATCTCATTGTTGTCCCATATTGTACAGATCCTCTGGATTTGGATCTCTAGATTCATCCCCTTCACATGCTCCAACAGTTTATGGATGGGGTGGGTTAACTCATCGCCCTGGTTCTGAGCCTTGGTGGTAGCTGTATTGGTCAATGTTGCAGCTTTTCCTCATCATCACTACCCAGGTGAGTTATTCAGCATTGCTTTGGCTTGCTTGACCAATGCAGCCTACAGAAATGAGTAGGGGAAGTTCCTCAATTCTCAGGCCCCCAGATCAATCCCACTTCTACTCCCACATCCAGAGCCAGTTCTAATGTTTTGTGCAGGTGAAGTGCAGGGCTCTCTCTCCCTGCTGTTGCAGGGGATATATGAGAAGGGGTCAGATTTGCTGCTCTTGTGTCCTCAAGGTCAGCCCTAGTGTGTTGTTCAGGGGTGTGCATGTGCAGGATCTGCTTTCCTGTGTGCTGCGGCTGGTGAGGGGCAGGTCCAGCCCTCTTACTCTCCTGACCCCATCTCAGATCTCTTCCCTGCTGCAGATAGTAAGAGCAGATAGGGGAAGGCATCTTTTCCCTACCCATGCCACTACATGACAGATTAGGGGGCAGGGTCAACTCTACTGCCCTCATACCCCCAGAGTATGCTCATATGTGTCCCTGACAATAGGTTCAGCTCTGGTATACTGTCCTAGTGAGTTACAAACAGATGGTGAAGGGTGGAGCTATCATTCAGGAGTGAGAGTTCAGGGGGGAGGAGGATAACAGCTCTCATGCCAGTATCCATCAAAGATCAGGGCCTACTATCCCAGGGCAAGAGAAGGGCAAGGCTGGCTCTGATCAATCCTCAGATTTCCACACTTGTAGTTCGTATAACCCCATGTGCTAGCACTGGCCATGCATGTTATCATAGATCCCAGGAGCACCAGGATTACAGACCCAAACATAGCCTTCTCTAGCAGCCAGGGTTCAAGAAGTCACCATGGCCACCAATGGCAACACGGGCCACCCAGATCAGTATGGCCGTGGTGGCAGCATGGCTCTCAGAAACCAACATGGACCCAAGTGGCTGACCAGAACCTGATCATCCACAGAGCTCTTTGTGGTAATAGGAGCCATGAGTATCACCCTAGCAGCAACAGGGCCATGAACCCAGACATGGGCTTCAGTAGCAGCCCTGGCCAGGATGACTCCCAGACCTTGCAGAATGTTTTCCTCCACTTCTCAGGCCTAGAAAGTACAGAGTGGGTCCTGGATAATGTAAGTAAGTATATGTGAGCATGTACATATGTGCACATGTGTACATGAATGTGTGCATTTGTGTCTCTGTCTTGAGGATTGGCTTAGAGACTTACAGTTCTAACTAAACAGTGTGCCAGTATGCTATACTCTCAACCTTCTAAGGTGTTTACATTTTTGTTCATCGCTAAAACCATATATCTGCTAAATAGATTCCCTTAGGAATTGATACTTTCATGTAACAATTTCCCATGTAGAATTATACCCTCCAATAAACTATTTTTTTCACCAGAAAACATGGCAATGTTGCAAGTATAAAGTTGTTTAACATCAATTATGTATCAGCAAGAACAATAAATCATTGCATATGAAACCACATACCTGTATAATACATGCTAAATTCTTTACAACAGGAGGTAAGAATCGTAGTGTAATTTCCATTGTTATTTTTGTCTGTGATAAAAAGCATGGATATTTTAGGAAATGAATTGTTACTCTTGACATAAAAGTTCCAGAAGCTTTCAAGTCCTTACTGTGCGGGCTATGTTCTATGTTGATGCAAAGTATCTTTATCTCAGTTAAGAAAATAAAAACACAGAGATATACTTTATGCCACATATTTTTCTAACATGCCTTATTTATTTAGTTACTTAATATCCCTTCTTATAATCTTATGAGTTTAGTATTATTATTTGAGTTTTACAAACAAGAAAGTGAGTGAGTTGATTACTACCTTGAGATTACTTAGATTCTTAGACACAATATCCTATTACTTGAATAGCTACAACCCACTAATGTTACAGAAGCCCAGGACATTCCATAACGATTAATGCCTAAGATAATAAGCATTTTTCAGTGATAGGGACCCATTTGGAAGATCATAGGAAAATTTCAAGATAGTGAAATGAAGAAAATATCTTCAACATACGGTGCTGGTATAACTGGATGTCTATAAGTAGAAGAATGCAAATAGATCCATATCTACTACCCTGCACAAAATCATGCTTTTTATCAAAGGCCTCAACATCAATCCAGATATACTAAACCTGATAGAACATCAATCCAGATATACTAAACCTGATAGAAGAGAAAGTGGGGGATATCCTTGACTACATCAGAATAGGAGACAATTTTCTGAATAGAGCTTAAGTAGTGAGAACCTCATGAAACTGTAAAGCTTTTGTAAAGCAAAGGACACTAGGATATAGTTAATAGGACAAAATGGCAGCCAACAGAATGGGAAAGGGTCTTTACCATGTCCACATCTGGCAGACTGCTGATTTCCAAAATATATAAAGAAGTGAAGAAACTAAATATAGAAAAAAAAAAAACACAAATAATCCAATTAAAAATGTGGTACAGAGAATTCTCAACAGAAGAATCTCAAATAGCTGTGAAACTCTTAAAATGTTCAACATCCTTAGCCATCAGGAAAATGTAAATCAATGGCACTTTGAGATCCCATCTTCTACTTGTCAGAATGGCTAAGATTAAGAACACAAGTGGCAGCTTATGCTGGAGAGGATGTGGATCAAAGAGAATTGTTCTCTATTGCTGGTGAGTGTGAAAAGTTGTACAGACTCTATGGAAATCAATATGGCTGTTTCTCAGGAAATTGGGAATCAATGTACTTCAAGACCCAGATATAACACTCTTGGTCATACACATAAATGATGCTCAATCCTGCCACAAGGACACTTGCTCGACTATTTTTATAGATGCTTTATTCGTCTAGCATTCTTTCTCTCAGCTATCCCAAACTGTCATCTGTGCATCTCCCTTAGTTTTCCCCGAAGAACATTTTTTTATTTACTTTTTTGTTGTTATTTCCATAGACAGCTCTGAAAAAATCCCAAGCAAAAGTAGTTAAATATTTAGTGTTCTGTATTGAACATTCTTAACCAAAATAATCAATAAGACAAACAATTCGGAGAAGTCAAAATTATGTGAAGAACTGTTTTTTTCTATGTAATCTTCCTTATTTGGAGGGAGCATGTGAGATTTTTAATGGGAGCTTAGAGTATTTCTCATGAGGACAAATATTTCCTTTGTTGTTATTAGTCCTGGAAATCTAACAGATTCGATATAAGTTCTTTCAGTCAATTCTCAGTTCTTCCTCACACACATTTCTTTTTATTTTATTTACATAAAAGTATTAAATGCATAGTCAGATAAAAATCTCTATTTGTAGGCTTATCTGTATTGCTTTCTCTTGACAGAAAGGGAGAGATAGTGGTAAGATGGGGAGAGGGAAAGAAAGAGAGGAAGAGAGAAAGAAAAGGAAGAAAGAAACAAAGAAATAAAGGAACAAAGAAAGAAAGGAACAAAAAAGAAAAAAGAGTGAATGCATGTGAGTAGATATGAAGATGGGCAGGATCTTGGAGGAGTTGAAGGGGTATGACAAAATATATTATATACAGAATTTTTAAATAAATTTTATTTAAATGATCAGCATCTTTATTCATCAGGTAAATAAAAATTTTTAAAAGAACAGTTCTGTTAAGTAATTTTTATTGCTAGCACATCAGGATCACTCTTTATAGGAAGAGACTATTGTAGTGGCACAGTAATGTTCACTCTTAACTCTTGCTCACTGGTCAGTTTTTTATACTATGCTGTACTATATTTTTCCAGCTTCTAGATTCATGTTTAATTCATGCTTGCAAACCTATACTGTTAGAGTTACACATTGACAAGCTTAATAATTGCCATCATAATTGCATTAGTATTTGCCCAGTTTCTTTTGTTTCAGAACCTGTAAAAATAGTGAAAGCTCAACTAGATGAGAACCTATTTATTGCCATATCCATATGACTCTTGACAAGAAAGAAATAAAACCAATTAATTTCTCAAATCTAGACTTTTTTATATTTGAAGAGTATATTCCAGGGACAGCCATTATAAAACTTATTTATTGGTCTCTGATATATACATTTCATTATTAATAGACACCATTTTGTATTTATAGGTATGAATGTAAGCAAAAGTGAGATAACAACAGAAGCTTCATTGAAACCATCTCGGAGATCCCTACCTTGCCTGGCCCATAGCTATGCTCATTCAAAAAGCTTGAGCCAATCTGCTTCTCTGTTCCAGTCAACTGAGAGTGAATCTCAGGCTCCAACTTCTGTAACATTTCTTTCTGCTGATAAACCTGAGCATGGTAAGTGACAGTGCATACTATCATGTGTTACATTCTAAAACATAAGACATTTTAAGAATTGCTTCCTTTTTGCTTTGCTAAATTTGGCTAGTGTTCATTTAGTGTTTTACGGATGTGTCTGTCAAAAGTAGACCAGTATAGTATATGGGTCATAGGAAAGTCCTGTTGGCTATATGTGTGTTTATTTATGTCTTGTTTTACAGTTTGCCTATCCCAAGGGAATCTGAACTTTATATTGGGTGTGTTATGGGAAAGACAAAGCCAGCTCATGAATCCTAAGTTCACATGGCCTCTATTTTATGCTACTGTTGTTAGAACATCCCTGGCAATAATTTACAGATTGTATTCAATAATACAATAAAAAATTTTATTTCCTAATATAAAGCACCACCTAAAGACACTCAAAGTGATTATACACACACACAAACACACACATACACACACACTTACACACACACACAAAAGGAGGAGGAGAAGAAGAAGAAATATGTACATAAGCACAAAACCTCAGGACAGATTGAATCTTGCTAGAAAACTGATAAGTGAATAGCAATAATAGAAAAAAATATCAAGTATTTATTTAGAAAATCATCAACTCTCCAATGTAAATAAAAGAGAAAGAAAATTATGCATGCTTTCTTAAAGACCCAGGAAAAGTCCCCCCCCCAAATGCCAGCAATTAGTACATATATTTAAATTATAATGCTACATACATATAAAGGTATAGATTGACTGACTCAATAAAATACAGAATAAGGTCTAGTACTTCCTCTCATTAGGAAATTCATATAATAGCTGTATAAACACATGCTCAGAATAAAAAAGATAGGCAGCATGGACAATGCTACCCACAGAAACTCAACACAGACAAAATCTCAGCACAGAGGAGGGAAAGAAATCATGAAATCTTGCCCCTAGCCATTAAGCTATTCACTCTTGATGCCTGATGGGAGACAGAATATCAGTTTCCTTCCATGGCTTGACACTAGGTATATCAACTATACTCCAAGGCAGGCCTCATAATCAGTAGTTGGCCAACAGAAATGGGACTCGTGTGTGTGTGTATGTGTGTGTGTGTGTGTGTGTGTGTGTGTGTGTGTGTGTGTGTGTTTAAAGAGAGGAAAAGAACATGTATTTTGTTGGGTATGGAGATGGAAGAGGGGCTAGAAGAAGTTAAGTGGGGTTAAAATTTATCAACATTTATAAAATTCTCCAAAAACATTGATAATGTTACCAAAATATATGTTGGAGATATAGAAGAACATTTAACAAAAACTTGAAAAATAAAGAAACAAAAACATCCAGAAGAAATAGCATACCTCTGTGTCATCATCTACAAAAGGCAAATCTGAATAGATCAAACACCTTGACATAAACCAAAATCTTTAAATCTAAAAGGGAAAAATAAGAACAACACTTAAAAATATTCCAAATTTAAAATTTGGCTCCAACGGCTCAGAAAATAATAAGAATTGAAGAATGGGATTGCATCAAATTGAAATGCTTATGTACAGCAGAGGAAAAATGAAGAATAGTTTACAGAATGAAAGAAAATCTTTGTCAGTTATTCATCTGGTAGTGGATTAATTTTCAGAATAAAAACCTAAAAGAAAAATAAACATTTCAAGAGCAAATAATTAGAATGATGAAAGAAGGTGCATAGATACTTTATAATTGAAGGAGTAAATGGACAACAAATGCACATAAAATATCTGATAAATGAAGGTATCAGAGAAATGCAGTTTAAAACTGCATGAAATCCAGGCTTGGTAGACTTGATGTGGAAGTCAGAAGTCAAAGTGATCAATACATAATTGTTTCAAAGGCAATCTTGGCTATCTGGTAAAAATCTATCTGAACAAAACAAAACAAACACAAATAAAAACAGCAAAAATCCACTATATTGTACTTTATTTCATCTCATTTGGAGTGGCTATTGGTCAAAATGAGAGTCACAAAAGAAACCAACAAAACAATACAAACCACAGAACATTGGAGAGGATATATGTAAACGAAGAACCCTATGCATTGTTAAGAATGCAAAATAGTTGGAAATTCATTTTAGAAACTAATTTTTATGCTACAAGATGCCTACACATATTAATGCATCATTCATAATCGCTTTTATAGAATAATCTTATGCCCATTATTTTATATATATAAATGAATAAAATAAAATGTGACCTAAATTCACAATAGAATTGTACCCATCAATACAGGGAAGGGGAGCGAAAAAAGATGAGAAAGGAATGCTTGTCACTGCAGGAAAAGGAATAGAACTGGAGTTGATCTTGTAAAGTGAAAATAGTCTTAGAATACTTTCAAGAGAAACAAATAGACTATGCTTTGAATCTAGGTGGAGGGGTTGGACATGTCAGGAAAGCAAAGTCAAGACCAGGTTATTACAAAATATTAAAAGAATCAGTAAGAGTCACATGGGGAAAAGAGGTGGGGGCATGATTAAAAAAAAAGTCATGAATGTAAGAAATTTTCATAATGAATCAATTCTTCATGGAATTAATATATTTAAAAATAAGACAAATTGTTTTAATTCATAGTGATGGCAAAACAGTAGAGGATAATGTGGCATTGACAATAGAACAGAGTTAAAATTTGAAGGATAGACCAAAAAGATGCCATATTGAAAACAGTTTTGGATTGAAACATTCTTTCTCACATCTTCATGCATGTAAGGCATTATACACCTTTAGACAACTCCTGCTCATAAAACCGAGCCATATTCTATCATTCAATAAGTGTTTATATTTTCCCATTGTTTTCTTGACGTTTTTCCTTTGGAAAAGTATTCTATTAAGCATTCCTTTAGCTCTCCATGATAAAGGTCATGAAGAGATCAGGAATAAAAGGAACACACCTAAACATAATAAAGGAAATAAACAATAAGCCAACAGCCAACATCAAACTAAGTGGAGAGAAACTCAATGCAATTTCTCTAAAATCAGGAACAAGACAAGGTTATCACTCTCTCCATATCTTGTCAATACTGTACTTGAAGTTCTAGCTAGAGCAATAAGACAAAGGAGATCAAGGAGATACAAATCAGAAAAGGAAAAAGTCAAATATTCACTATTTGTAGATGATACCATAGTTTATATAAGTGACCCAAAAAAAAATGTATCAGGTAACTCCTACAGCTGATAAACACCTTCAGTGAAGTGGGAGGATCCATGATTAACTAAAACAATCACTATATATATATATATATATATATATCAAATATATATATATTTGATAAAAGAGCTGAGAAAGAAATCAGAGAAACACCACCCTTCACAATAGCCACAAACAACAAAAAATACCTTGGGGTAACTCTAATCAAACAAGTTAAATACTTGTATAAGAAGAACTTTAGGTCTTTAAAGAAAGAAATTAAGGAAGATGTCAGAAAATGTAAAGATCTCCCATACTCTTGGATAGGTAGGATCTACATAGTAAAAATAGTTATCTTATTAAAAGCAATCTATACACTTGACTTTATCCCCATCAAATTCCCAGCACAATTCTTCCAAGATCTTTCAAGAATAATACTCAACTTCACATGGAAAAAAAAAAAAAAAAAAAAAAAAAAAAAAAAAAACCAGAATTCCTGATGCAGTAGCTGATGGAAGCAGAAGCAGATACAGCTAAACACTGAGCCAAACTGCTAGAATCTAGTTGTAGAGAGGGAGGAGTAATGATCAAAGGGGTCAGGACTATGCTGGGGAAATCCACAGAATCAGCTGACCTGAGAAAGTAGGAGCTCACAGATCCCAGTCTGACAGCTGTGGAATCTACTTAAGACCGAACCAGGGCACCTAAACATGGGTGTCAGTTGTGTGACTTAATTAGCTTATGGGGTCCCTTGACATTGGACCAGTTTTATCCCTAATGCATGAATGGGCTTTGGGGCTCCATTACCTATGGAAGGAAACTCTCTCATCCTAGATACAAGGGGAGGACCTAGGTGCTGCCTAAAATGATGTGACAGACTTTGATGATGAGGAGTGAATGGGTGGTAGGAATGGGAGATTATGTAGGAATGGGAGTATGGGAGGGATAGGGGACTGGGAATGGTATGTAATGTAAAATTTTATTCAATTTAGATAAAAATTAATTTAAAAAATTTCTTTAGTTTCTTCTCCTGGATAACTTAGGAATACTAATTTTGCTTTCAAAAATGCTTTGTATTATAGTCAACTTACAGTAGTGTTAATTGCTCAATAGAAAGAACACGATAAAATGTTTCATAGGTGGTGTTTAGTTGAATGCTAAGTTTTAACTATTATTTAAATAAAATTTAAATCTCAATACATTAACTTAAAATATTTCTTTTTAATTGATTATCATTAAGACATCAGATATTATAGTCAGCTTTATAGTTATGCATTTCCTTTCCCAAATGATGAAGTGTCTTCTTTTTTCCAGTTAATTTTGAGGAAAATAAAAATGACTCTACCCTCAAATGTTCCTTTGCTGACTTCAGTGACTTTTGTTTGGGTGAGTTAATTTCTAATATATTTTCCTTTCTCCATAAATAAAGGATTCCTTCAAATCTAGAATAATTTTGCATAATACTGTTCATTCTGGGTCTATCATTTGAGCAGTGATTATAAAAATATGAATTTTATAATTATACAATTTAAAACTCAAATAATATAAGCAGACTGTAGTGAATGATACTATAACAAAATGTCAGTGAATTTTAATTTTAACTTTATGAATTTCTTCCCATTCTATACAAATAACTATATTTACACTGATATGATGAGATGTATCAAATTTTACACCTGAATATTTTTCATGATATTAAAGTTGAAAGATCTGACCTGGTTGTCTATTAGTAGAATATATATATATATATATATATATATATATATATATATACATATATATATATGTATATATGTGTGTATTTTATATATTATATATTTTTCCTATAAAATTAAAAATGAATCTGTTTTTAACTAATAATTGACCATGAGCTTTATGAAAACACTGTTGCTGTGTATGCATTGCCTATGTGATTTAATGAGAACAGATACTCCAGGGAGTTTTTGAAATTCTCTGATCACACCAGCAACACATGATCAGGGGTTAATTTGTCTAGGGGTGACATGAATATCCACCTTTTTTTTTATTTGCTAGGTAAACATAAATGAGGGCAAGATTAAAAATGTCTTTACAAATATTTTTATCTTGTTTTAATTCTTAAAACATTGTCAAGACATTTCAACATTTTCAATCCCTTGAACTGTGTGGTGGCAACATTCTGAGAACTACAAATTAATCATATTTTTATAATAACTATTAATCTATGTGACATAGAAACAAGGCTACCATATTAACTTTCTAACTAAAACATTATCTGGTTCATTTAATATAAAACATCAAAAGTTACATTTAATATTACATTTAATAAGAACAAAAGAAAGTTATTTGCATGATCTTCAGTCACTCATTTTCTGAAAACAAAATGACATCAAAGTACTTGGTTTTCAGGCCCCCTGATCAAGGGTGTCAGTGGGGGTTCTGAGAAGTCCATGAGGCCTCTGGCAGTGGAACCAGTATTTATCCCTAGTGCATGAATGAATATTGGGATCCCATTCCACATGGAGGGATACTCTTTCAGTCTGGACACATAGGGGATAGCCTAGGCCCTGACCCAAATGATGTGATAAACCTTGTTGATTCCCCCATTGGAGACCTCACTCTCCCTGGGTAGTGGACAGGGGGTTGGATGGGGGTCAGTTGGGGGGATGGGAGTATGAGAGAAGGAGGGAACTTGTTTTGTTGTTATTGTTGTTCGACACATCCACACAGGTAGTAAAATTTACATTAATTTTTCACTAAATTAGAACCATTTACTACTTCAACAAATATCCAGAATCAAAATACTCTCATTGCAATTTCACAGATCTTATTTTTTTAAAATAATCTTCATTTAAATTAAAATCAATCTTATTTTACATACCAATCTCAGTTCCCTCTCCCTCCCATTTTCCCATCCTCCCCCTCCCCTCTCCCCCAATTGCTCAGGGAGGGTGGGGCCTGCCATAGGGGATCATCAAAGTCTGTCACTTCATTTGGGGCAGGACCTAGGCCATCCTTTGTGTGTCTAGACTGAGAAAGTATCCCTCCATAGAGAATGGACTCCCACAGCCCATTCATGCACTAGGGATAAATACTGGTCCCACTGCCAGAGGCCCCGTAAACTACCCAAGACCTCCAACTGACACCTACATTCAGGGGGCTTGTTTTGGTCTTGTTTTGGTTCCCCAGCTGACAATCTGGAGTCTATGATTCCCCAGCAAGGTCTTAGCCCCTTAACACCACACACACACACACACACACACACACACACACACACACACACACACAAATTTGAGTCTATAATCTAAGTCTAAGTCTGTATTCTAGTATTCAGAATGCTGAAAGAGATTACAGCTTTCAGGCTAATCTGAGCTCATAGTAAGACTAACATTAAAAGGAAAGAAAAACTAAAGTTAATTAACTTACTTCAAATTTCACAAAACATACTTAAATGGAAAACTGCGATTATAAGAAAAATTGCTAGTATCTGTGTGAATAAACACCCACATAATCTATGTGGATGTAGCTCCTAGTTGATATATACTTTTATCACTGTCTCTGAGAAGTTTCTCTTTGCAGTGGATGGTGAATAACATGAAGCCCACAATTGGTCAAGATGTAGAGAATAAATGACTGCAAAGTTCTCAGCTCTTATTGAGCATACATATCCCTCCTTCCAACAGATCAGGGAGTATTGTAGAAGAGGAGGAAGAAAGAATGTAAAATCATGAGGAGGTAGGTCACTAGAAGGAAACAGTGTCTACAGGACACAGCAGTGAAGTTCCAGACATAGCTCAAGAAGTTATGACAGCTTGTAGACCAAATCCCAGTATGAGATGGAAATTTTGTGTGAAATTCAATGACTAGCCATGGAGATATTGTCCATTCTGCTGTGAGAGAAAAATGCCAGTCTTTTCTAAGAGTGTAGTCCTCAGTAAGTTAACCACTCTCTAATAGAAGACCATACATGTCAGGATGCTTGAACAGCACAAATTGCTCTTGACAAGGAAATATAAAACACAAAGTTAGGTGGACATGAAGCATGAAGTAGTCATGTATCTGAGATGAGTTAGGATAAAAAATATGATATAAAACAAACTGCCAAATAACTAAAATGAAAGTTACCTGTATCTTTGCAATACAGTGCTTGCATTATCTTTTAAGGGATGTCAAATATATTGAAGTAGGAAGCATTGAGTATAAATAAACATGAGTATTTTAGCAATGCATGTTCACCTTCAAACACCAAGCAGTCTTACTTGTTGCATCTGAAGGCGTTGAGCACCAATGCATTCGAAGGTGCTGAATTGGATTTTCGAAGCACTGAGAACCAGACCAGTGCATCTAGGTAATGACTCCCTTTTCATGGTCAACTACTTGGCATTGCCCATGAGAATATAAATGTTGTGGTATAACTGATTGCCTGTAGACAGCATTTCATTGAGGACTGATATTTCCCCTTGCTCAAAGGAAAACCATATTTTTTATTTTATTAGAGCTCAAGCTTCCTGAGGGGCTGATTAGCTTTAGTCACTTCTCCAGCTGCTATGATAATCATCCTGATCAAAATAGTTTAAGGAAGGAGGGTCCATTTAGGCTCACGGTTCAAGTTACTCCATCGTGGTGGAGAAACCATGGAGGCAGGAGGCTGAGGCAACTGGTCACTTTGCATCACATGTTAAGAGCCGAGAGCAAGAGGTATTTGTGCTCAGCCAGTTATTACGTTTATACAGTTCAGCACACAAACCGAGGAATGTAGGGTAGGTCGTTTGACCTCAGTTAACTTAATCAATTCAGTCCTTCACAGATATGGCCAAAGGCTAGCCTAACCTAGAGTACCATTCACATGTATGCCCATAGGCTTGTCTTTTAGATGATTCCAGATCCTCTCAAATGACATTGGCACTAACCACCACAGTTGCCTAATAAAATTCATATTTTTTTTTTGGTTAAAATGTACTTTTCTACTCTAGCCATCCATCAATCAAAACATTCTTGTATCTACGAGATATGTCACCATGGCATTTTATTTAATGTTTCTGCATCTGGATGATATTATTTGTTAATTAGAATAAATAATTTATAGTTTGATTCTTGTGTTCAATGAATAAGCATAGCTTTACCATAGCAACAATGTCACCAGAAAGTAAAGAGATACTTATTTAGTCATTTATGTGTTTAATCACTCAATTTATTTTCACATTAAATTCTGATGAATACATAGGTGTCTTTGCCATACCAATCCATGTGTAGGGATTCTATTACCACCAAATATGATACTTATGATGTACCTGTTATACCCAGTCCACAAAATCCCCAGGGAGACCACCACTTGGAGATGACTCACCCAATGCAATTACAAGGTTACTTTATTGAATTCAAGCCTAGGCAGGGACCTTGTACCACAGACTAACACAGCCACTGCAGGAGAAGGTCCCACACCCCACAAGCAAAGGGTTTATATAGACAAAAATCATAGGATAGGTTGAGGTTAATGGGTTTAAAGTTTATTGACTGGGATATCTAGAGGAACTTGGGGACTTTTAGGGGTTCCCATAGATTTATCTCTGGATCCATATATGCCCATAAAGGTTGTTTTTGCAACTCTATTAATTGGCTAACCCAGGGTTAGGGTCCATTGTGGTTATCTGTTCGTCCTGATGGCCTGTTTTTCCTGGAGCCAGCTGTAGTTGTCATGGGCTAAGTTTCCCTATATTCTGTTTCTGGCCCTCTTTTCTAAAATGGCTCTAGTTTGGTCTCTCAGTAACATATCAATAGTAATTTACTAAACTCATTATTCTACAACAGTTTTCCTGCTTCAACTCATGTAATTCTCAGAAAATCCCATAGGGGATAGTTTTATTATCACCCTTTTACAAATTTGAAAACTAGGTCTCATTAAATAAATAAATTTACAGTCAACGGTAAGCTCTTCAAAAGAGAGCTGATGTTCCCCAGAAATCTTAATCCTCGAGCTCTCTCTTATTACTACAATATGCACAGCGATCTTTAAGGTAAAATGGATACTGGTATCTACATAACACTGATTTGGTAATATTTTCAGTTTTTAATTATGAGTCAAGCTGCTAGGCAATGTACTTGGGGAAATGATCAGTTAAAAATAATCAGACTTTCACACCTTTTTATGATTTTCCTCCATTTTTGTCTGTGATATAATATTGAATTCTGCTTTTCATGAAACAACTCATAAAGCCAGGATGTCACTGTAATCTGTATTTATAACACAACACAAACATGTGCCCAAATGCATGTTTGCACACACACAAGTGCATATATGCCTCTAGGGGCACACAATCATACTATCCATTTCTTCATATATGTACTCACACAAACCATTCAACAAAGTGATAATTTTGAAATCATTAGTTTTATGACTCCACTAAAAT